TAGCAACTGAGAGAAAGGGAATAGCTTGATGCTTATATTGTTTGGTTGACTCTGCAGGCCTGGGGCTGGTGTCTGGGCATCTACTTAGAAGATGGCAGTGTGCATTGTGTCAGCTGTGGGGATTAACCTCCTGTGTTGTTTGAAGTCCGATGTTTTGTTCCATTTTACTGTGTTGTTTTATTTCGTTAGATTCCTACTCTCCACCCCCATCACAGCACAATCCTCATGGCAAGGGTTCAAAACTGTGCCCTGATAATGCATATCTCCTTCTTCCCAGAAGCCCCTATGGCTTCTCCCTCCCAAAAGTCTGTGCCAAAACTCAGGCATGTAAAGGTTTACCCAATCCCCTGCACTCTCATCAAATCAGCTCACATCAGTCCCCTGGGCCCTACCCCCATCAGAACCTATATCAGGCAGAACCTGCCCTTCTTCTGCTGAGAGCCATCACAGCCTTCTTTGTGATGACTCTCTCTGTGCCCCCTCCCATTAAACTCTTTTCTTACCTAGTTGTCCCCTCTTTTAATATTCTGCACTGCTCTAGATTGAGTACAAACTTTTACTCAATCAATTCCTGCCTCTGGTAACCTGAGCAACTATTTTAAAGATAACAATGGGCAGTATTGTTCTCGTTATTTTGTTTTGTCCCCATTTTTTTGTTTGTTTTGTTTGTTATGTTTTGATTGCTTTTATTCTGTTTTGTTTTGATTTTGCTAGGTCCGATGGTATGGACAACTACTGTGAAAATAGTAAGATATATTATGGTAGCTATTGTTGATTTCCTGTTTGGAAGTTCTATACCACTCTCACTGCTTTGTTTTGTTTCTAATTCTTTTTTTTTTTTTTGTACCGGGGATCAATCTCAGAACCTGTGCTTGCCAGGCAGGTGCTTAAGTCACTGAGCTAAATCCCCAGCCCACTGCTTTGTTTTGTTCTGTTTTGTTGGGTTTTATTCTCTGTAAAATAAAAATACATAAATATTTAAAAATGAAATTATAAAAATTTTTCTTTGAAAAAAAAATTTTTGAGACAAGGTCTCTCTTTGTGTAGTACAAGCTGACCTTGAACTCACTGTGTAGCCCAGGCTGGCCTGGAATTCATGGTGATCCTCCTGCCTTAGCTTCCTGAGTGCTGGGATTCTAGGCATGTGCCTGGTTTACATATCACATTTTGATCCTTTTTATTTCCACTTTCCCTAGCCTGTCTCCTGTCTACTCCTATCCCCAGATTCTCTTTCTGTCCCCACAAAGTCTGTCTGTTTCCTTTTGTTTTGTTGAGACAAGGTCTCACTTTATAGTTCAAACTGCGCTTGAGTAGACTATGTAGCACAAACTGGTGTCAAACTCTCTCACCCTCTGCCTTAGGTGTGTGCCCCTATCATGTATCTTTTACTTTGGTCTTTAAATTATACTTTGGGTTTCTCACATAAGAGAACAATATTTAGCCTTCTGTGTCTGATTATATTTTTGTACTTCCTATATATTTTCTTTCCTTCTGCCCAAAGTAGTCCCCCAAAGCAGTGTCTGCCCTTCTTTTGTACCTGTGACATAGCCATGTTACCTTCTCCTCTTTTGATAGACTTTTATTTATTTATTTGGTCTTTGGAATCAAACTCATAACCTTGTGCTTGCCAGGCAGGTACTTTTTTTTTTTTTTTTGGCCTTTTTTCAGGCAGGATTTTACTATGTGGTTTAGGCTGGCCTTGAACTCAGTTTGTAGTATAGGCTGGCCTTGAACTCACAGCAGTCCTCGTGCCTCAGCCTGTGAGTGCTGGGATTACAGGCGAGCGCCTCTGTGCCTGGGTTTGATGGATTTTGAGATTGTCAAAATGTTCACAATAAATGTGCAATAAAGAACAAAATTGCAATTTTGTTTAAAAATCTCAATCAGCTTTATTTTCATTGTTTTGTTTTGTTTCGAGATAGGGTCTTGCTATACAGTTTAGGCTGGCCTTGAATTTACTGTGTAGTCCAAGCTGGCCTCAATCTCAAAGTGATCCTCCTGCCTCAGCCTTCTGAGTGCTAGGATTATAGGCATGTACCACCACAACAGCAGTTGGCTTCATTTTTAATTCTAACATCTACTAACACTTGATTTCTTTCCTTTTTTTTTTTTTTTTTTTTTTTTTTAGTATTTATTGGTAGAAATAGATCTTCAACGCATACTTTGTGTTCAGATAAATTCTACATTCTCTTAAGGTTTTCTCTTGCACGTTATTTGGCATTAATTGGTCTCCAAACACTTGATTTCATAAACTGGAGTCAGGGGGGCATGGTGTTTCATGCCAGCACTTGGGAGCTGAGGCAAGATGATCGAAGGAAGTTCAAGGCCGTCCTGAACTATGTAGTAAGAAATTGCTGCAAGCAAAACAAGAGTAAGTGAGGTGAGAGGAAAAGGATAATTTTTCTCATAAGGTGAGAGGAAAACTTTTGTTTGGTAGTGGGAACTGAACTTAGGAACCTGGGCTTGCCAGGCAGGCACTGTGCCACTGAGCTATACCTCTGACTTGAAAAGGGTAGTTTTATAGACAGTAAAGTACTCAAGAAAGCAGTGTGTGTGCGGAGGAGGCCTGGTATGGTGGTGCAGGCCTGTAATTGCAGTTACATAAGAGGCTGAAGCCAGTTTGGGCAATTTAATGAGAACTTTTCTTTTCTTTCTTTCTTTTTTTGTCTTTTTCCTTTTTATCGGTACCGGGGATTGCGAACTCACGAACGACTGCTAGCAAAGCAGGTGCTTATGTCGCTGAGCTAAATCCCCAGCCCAAGAACTTTTTTTTGGTACTAGGAATCAAACTGAGGACTTCTTTCTTGCCAGCCAGGTGCTGTACCGCTGAACTATATCCTTAACCCTTTAGTGAGAACTTGTCTAAAAAGAAAAAAATCAAAAGGCTGGAGATACAGCTGTATATAAGGCTGAGTTTAATTCCTGATACTGTGAAAAACAGAAAAAGGAAGACTGGTCATTTTGAAGTTACTTTCCATGTAAGGCAGGGACAGGGAGGCAAAAACAATAGAAAAAACTGCTTAACTTCAGGTTATATTTTATGTAAAGATTAAAGCAGAGGGAACTTCATTATCCTGACAACTGAAACTGCCCTGTTTGAGAAATTTGGCTATCTCTCTAAACCAGTTTTCTTGGAAATTTAGATAATTTAGATAACTTAATTTTAGCTCAGTGATATGAAATTTTGGCCTGAGTGATTCTTAGCCTGGCTCAGTAGCCTAATTTATTGGGGTTTAGTACAGGAGCTTAGTCCAAAACAATGGTCTTGGGTCTTGGGTAATTTTTATTTTACAGGAGGTTTTTGGTTTTTTTTGAGACAGATTCACTAAGTTGCCTAGAATGGTCTGGAACTTGAGATCCTCCTGCCTCAGCCTTCTGAATAGCTGTGACTACAGTTATGTGCCACTAAGTCTAACAAGGAATGTCCTTTTATGTATTAGAGTGATCTTCCTGTGTGTGCCTCTTTGGAGTCTTGTAGGCATTCTTCTAGTATAGCTACCCCAAAATGGAGTTGCTGGATCAGTGTGTCCCTACATTAAATTTCACCAGATGTTGCCAAATTGTATCCTCTTAACCAGTAAACTTCCATAAGCACTATTTCACACACCTCTGCCAACACTGGGTATGACCAGTCATTTGATATGTCCAATAATATTAGCTAATTTTGACTAGAACACAGAAGGCAGGTGGAGCCCAGTGCAGCCTATAAGCGGTATGGTCTGGCCTGGTGGTTGGGGGTATATTTTCAGAGTAGTACAAGGATGGGGACAACTAGGGAGCCATGAAAGGGCTTTAAGGAAATGATCACACTTAGGCTGGGGTCTCACTAGGCAGTTCAGGCTGGCCTTGAAGTCACAGTGATTCTCCTGCCTCATCCTCCTGAGTGCTGAGATGACAGGCACGTACCACCTAACCAGGACTTAAACTTGGCCCTTTAAAACATCCTTCTGAGCTGGGGAAGGTGGCATACAACTATGTTCCCAGCACTTTGGGAAGTAAGGCAGGAAGATTACAGGTTCAAGCCCAGCTTGGGCAACTTATTAAGATCATGTTCAAAATAAAACATTTTACCTTATTTTATTTATTTATTTGTCTTTTTTGAGACAGGGTCTCGCTATGCAGTTCAGGCTGGCCTTGAGCTCACTTTGTAGCACAGGCTGGTCTCGAACTCACAACAATCCTCCTGCCTCAGCCTCCTGAGTGCTGGGATTACAGGCGTAAGCCACCACTCCCGGCCTTCAAAATAAAACATTTTATTTTTATTTTTTTTTGTCTTTTTCGTAGGGGCCTGGGGATTTAGCTCAGTGGCATAAGCGCCTGCCTTGCAAGCAGGCAGTCGTGAGTTCGATCCCTGGTACCGATAAAAACGAAAAAGACAAAAAAAAATTTTTTTTAAAAAAAGGCTGGGATCTCATCTCAGCAGTAGTAGAAAAAAAAAAAAGGCTGGGAAGAGGGGAAAGGAAAAGAAAAAATAAAAAAATAAAAAAATGAGAAAAAAATGGAAACAGAATGAGGGGAAGAAGAGTTGAAGGGAAGGGAAGGGAATAAGAAAAAAAAAAGAATTTCTATCATATAGAGGTACAAAGTCCCTATAATGAACGTGATCATTAGATATACCTAGAATGGACCAATAAAAATCATTTTCTTTGGGCGGGGGAAGCTGGGAAATGTAGCTCAATGTGAGGACTCTGGGCTTAATCCTTATTATCGCAAAACCGAACCAAACCACTTTAGGCATGGTGGTGCATACTCTTAGGCTGACGCTTGAAGATCTGTGTTATCTTCAAATCTGTGCTACTTAGCGAGTTCGACGCCTGCCTGAGCTACCCAGTGAGGCTCAAAATCAAACGAAAATTAAACAACAACGTGCACAAAAAGCACGTCGTCCGGAGGCGTTTGCTCTCATTAATGCTAACAATCATTCTGAAGCACCTCAATTCCACTAGCCTCGCAGCTCAGACCAACACATCCCGCGATCTTGAAAAAAAACCGACCAAAAGAGCCTGGCCTCTGGGGGCGTGTCCCACTCAGGGCCCGCCCCCTCGCGTCTGCACGTCGCGCCGTCCTCGCGCTCGCCGTTTGGCTGCTGCGACTGCGGAGGCTGAGGGAGTAGCTGACTGGCGAGCTCACTAGCTGACTGACTGGCAGACCGGTGGCGGGTGAGTGTCTTGTGACCTTTGCGGCGTCCCCGATGGCTCCTCGGCCCTCGGAGGGTCCTGGCCCAGCTTGAACCTCGCGAGCTCGATTAGTCCGGGCCTCTGCGTCCCCGCGGTACCCTGAAGAGATCTGCGGGCAGAGGCCGGCCGGAAGCGGGGTGAGGCTGGGGAGAGGGTGACGGAGGGGACCGGGACGGACGTGGAGGTGTCAGATGAAGGCAAAGCCCCCGATGCTGCTCTTTGAGAGGCGTTTCAGTAGGTTCCGGACGGCCCAAGCGGCTCCTAGGCTGTCCCCTGGGACCCAGCCCTTCCCTGTGTCTGGAAGAACACCTTGGCGAGGTGACCCCCGGGCCGCAGCTGGTGGACAAGTCCACCTACCTGGGCTCCGTGGGACCTTGAGATGGCCTCTGCGTTGGAGATGGAGGCTGGCGTGGCAGCCTCAGGGGCTGTTGGCTTTGGCAGTTCTTGACCATCTCTGTCGTGACTCACTTCTGCGGGAAGTGCCATTTGGATCACGGTAGAGGCTTCGCGAGTGACCTCTGGTATGCCTTGGTGTAGAGTATGGGACTGGGAGGGATCAGGTGCAGGTGCAGCCGGTTAGTCAGCACCAGAAGTTCGCCTGTCGTGTCCTAAGCTCTAGATTTCCTAATTGCCCTGTAAAAGCTACCAGGACCGCCTTGCCTAGTGTTGGCATAGGGCCTATCTGTATCATGGCATTTAAATTGATTCTGAAGGACCAGTTGTTGTGGTTGTGGCTGTTCATCCTTATTGGCTATGAGGCGCTGTGAAACAAAGGAGTTAGTATGTGATTGAAGATCCTCTTGCTCTCAGGCCCTTCCAAAATCTTGTGAGTTGGTAGTTTTTCCTCTTGTAAAATGCAGTCACCGAGAGACTCACAAAATAACTTGAGCTACATCTCAAAAAGGTGGCACAGATGATCTTGAACCTGAGTGGTCAGTCTCTATATTTTGTGCTCTTTATTTAATGGAATTGTAGAGATTGGAAATGGATTATGTTGTGTAAATGATCTTCCTTCTCTTAAACTGTCCTGTCAACTTAAAAGGAAATGAATTTACTGGTTTTGAATTTCTAGTATGTGCTTGTCAACCAGTATGGGCTTTTTTCCTCCCTTAAGTACTAGGCAAGCATTGTACCTCTGAAGTACATTGCCAACTCTTTTTATTTTGAGACCATCTCCTTAAATTGCCTAGGCTGGGCTAGATCCTGGAATTCTCAGCCTCTTCAATAACTGAAATTTATAGGCTTATACCACCACTCTCTGTTCAGGGTGTGATATTTGTGTGTGTGTGTGTGTGTGTGTGTGTGTGTGTGTGTGTGTGTGTAGGTGATGAATACGTGCTGTGGATCCAACCCAAGGCTTCCTACATACTGAATACTCCACCACTCTACCACTGAGTTAAGACCTCAGTCCTAAGCAGTGTATTTTGATTATACTTTTATTTTCTCTTCTCTTCTCTTTCTCTCTTTTTGTCTGTCTGCCTTTCTGTTTTGTTTTTTGGGACAGAGTCCATGTAGCCCAGTCTGGCCTTGAACTTGGGATAATCCTCTTACCTCAACCTCCCAAGTACTAGGACTACAAATGTGGGGCACCATGCCTGACTTGATTACAGTTTTCTGATTAATTTCTTCAGTTTATTTGGGAAGAAAGATGAGGAATGTGTTAGTAAGTCTGTGTTTATTTGTGACTTTTTGTTTTTGAAACAAGGGCTTGCTGTGTAGTTTAAGCTGGCCTTGAACTCACTACATAGCCCAGGCTGGTCTCAAACTTGGACAGTCTTGCTTCAGCCTCCCAGAGTTCTGTGATTACAAGTGTGCACCACCACACCCAGTTTTAGTTATTTTCAAGAAACATTACGAACTCTACAAAGAGGTGCACACTTGTAATCTCAGCTATTTAGCAGGCAAGCCTTCTAAATAGGGTGGCAAAGGCTGTGCAATTAGTGAGAAACTGTTTCAAAATTAAAAGGGTGAGGAAAGAGGCTAGGGATGTGGCTCCTTGGTAGAGTGCTTGCCTAGCATGCACAAGGCCCAGGGTTCAACTTCTACCCAGTACCACCGTAAAAAAGAAAAGAAATATCAAAAGATATAATTGCTTACAAGTAGTTCACAGTTCAGTAGGCATTTATGTTTCCTTGGTAAAATTGGTGATCATCGTCTTTTAAATTTTTTTGCTGGGCTGGGAATCAAACCTGGGCTTCATGTGTGCTGGCAGGTGCTTCACTGCAGAGCTGCACCCCAAATCCCATACTCACTGAAAATGGAAGAAATTTTAAAAAATACCACCTATGCCAGAACACAGGTAAGGATGTGGGAATTGGTGAATTTTAGAATTCACTTGCTCATTGAAAGAACTAATGCTACTGGGGATATGAAGAAGGAAATCCTGCAATTTCTCCATTGTTGGATTTGATTTCCTTTTTTGCTCTGCGTAGGCCAGTAAGTTGAGATAGTGTTGAGCTGGGATTACCAGAGTCTAGAGTGTGAGCTATTCCAGAAATGATAGTGCCAATGAGATGAGATACAGAAAATTTGTTGCTTGCCTTTAATTTGGCTCTCAACAACTTGAAAACTTGTAGAACTGGACAGCTACGCCAGTTTTTGGTTTTTTTTTTTTTTTGGTAGCTGATTTGCTTTACAGAGAAAGAAAATTAATACTCTACATTAAGATTAAGGTTGCATTGGGGCTGGGGATTTAGCTCAGCGGCATAAGCACCTGCCTTGTAAGCAGGCGGTCATGAGTTCGATCCCTGGTACCGATTAAAAAAAAAAAAAAAGACAAAAAAAAAAGATTAAGGTTGCATCAAAAACTGGAATATTTATTTTTCCAGGAGGCAGATAGATCTTTTTCTTTTTTCTTTTTTTTTTTAGTACTGGAGATTGAACCCACAACCTCACACTTAGCAGGCAAGTGCTTGAGCTGCTACGCTAAATCCCTAGCTAGATCTTTTAATTTTTATTAGTACATCTTTGCCATGTACTAATGATTCATTTATTGTGGGGAAGATCCTTTTTTTTTTCCAGTTTCTTGAGTTTCGTGTGTGCGCATTTGCATGTTTTGTTTTAGAGACAGGGTCTGGTTTTGTAGTACAGGCTGGCCTTGAACTCACCAGGTGGCCCAGGCTGGCCTTGAAAGTGCAGGGATGCTACTACCTCAGTCTCCCAAAGTGCTCGGATTACATGCATGTGCCTCCATGCCCAGGTTTCTTTTAGTTGTTTTTTCTCTTTTGAGACAGGGTCTTGCTCTTTAGCCTAGGCTGGCTTTGAACTGTCTAGGTGACCCTAGGCTAGCCTTGAACTTAGGATGATTCTCTTGTCTTAGCCTCTCAAATGCTGTGAGTATAGGCGTGTGGTACTGTTCTTGGCTGGGAAAGTTAATTTTTGTCACACAAACAGGTTTGTTTCCTTCCCAGGAGTATCATAGGCCTAGTTATTGTCATAGTTATTTGTAACTTTAAAAGGGCCCTGAGAAAGAATGGCATAAAAGACTGGTGCCTGGTATTTAGCTTGCCTGACTTTTTCTAAACATTCCCAGTTCTGTGCCTTTGTTTTGATAAGCTTTCTTAGTTTTAGAGTACTCTGGTTTCACTGCATTTTGTATTCAGTCCTACAGTTATCTGAGCTAGCTATTAAAGTACTTGTACTGTTGTGGGAAGGTATGTGCATGATTATAACAATTGGTATCATGATCCCATGATTTTATTATTATTGTTACTTTTTAGGTGTTATATGATTTTATTTAATCTATTTGACTAGCTTGCCTCATAAGTAGCTACAGTGATCAGATTTTTGTCTGCCAAACTCAGAACCTACGTTTTGAGCATACCGGTGTACTAAAGAACAAGATTTTTTTTTTGTACTGGGAATCAAACTAATGACCTCACACTTGCTAGGCATGCCATTGAACTTTATCCCCAGAACACAAGATATTTAAAATTAGAACTGTGCTGAAAAATCTAAAACGTAAGACTGTATCTTTAGTGCTGTTATGTGTACTACACAATTAGTATTTCTTTTTTTTTTTTTTTTTGGTCTTTTTCCTTTTTATCGGTACCGGGAATCGAATTCACGACTGCCTGCTTGCAAGGCAGGTGCTTATGCCGCTGAGCTAAATCCCCAGCCCCACAATTAGTATTTCTAAGGGCTGGGGATTTATCTCAGCGGTGTAAGTGCCTGCTTGGTAAGCGCAAGATCCTGAGTTTCATTCCCTGTACCAAACAAACAAAAAACAACAAAACAAAACAAACCTCAAAACAATTAGTATTCCTAGAAGGGTACACTTTGTTATGCTGTTTATCTTCGTTTTTCCACTTGTTACTCTGTTTAGATTGAAAGCTACTCAAAGTCCAAAACAGTATCTTAGTCTTCTTTGTAGCTAGAGACTATGAGTGTGTTTGTTGATCGTAATATGTAATGTCACCTGCCCAAGTGTGGCTATCACTTTCTATAGATACTTGATCTCTGTTCTTTCCAAAAAGACTGCTCTATGCTGTCGCAGAGGAACTGCTGTCACTTGGGACTATTTCCAGGGCAATGTCGAAGAAGGGAGGAGGAAGGAAAAAAATCAGTAAGAAAAACAATGTAGAGACTGGGAGAAGGGTCCAGGTGGTAAGTAGTATTTGAAGGCAGATGAAATAGGCAAACATAGTGAAGTGGGGTCTGGATACTCTTTCCACTTCTTTTGCCTGGAAAGACATTAAACCTTCATTCCCTTCACCCATCTTTTTATTTTTTGAGACAGCATCTCTCTATGTAATCCAAGCTAGTCTTGCATTTGCAATGTAGTTTAGGCTAACCTTGAACTTGTGATCCTCCTGTTTTAAACTGAATGCTGGGATTATAGGGATGTTGTAGTAGAACATCCTGTGTCTCTGTTTCACTTTCTCTCTCTCTCCCTCTCTCTTTCTCTCTTTCTTCCTCTCTCCTATTCCACTCACACCTATATACTTTGTAAGGTTTTGTTCTGACTGTTTTGACAAGGCAGG